GGATGGGTGCAGTATGATCTAGCTTCTGGTGAGAACATTACTGAATGCAATTGCATTCAACTGGAAATTATGTCTGTCTTTATATATGTCTAAGCTAGCTGAAGAGGATAATCTTAAATACATGCAACAATTCTTGATTTTTGCCTATCTGTCTAGACTGCCTCTCTTGGCCTTTCCACATCATTGCCAAAAAACTTGGTAGCATGCAAGAAAATAAGCTATACATGCCCATCCAAATAAAAGCAAAACCCATTTCATAAATGGCATTGCATATGTTTCCTTCTGGAGTTCATCTTAACTTTAGGGAGCATGATTATTTCAGTTTCAGTAAAGTCACTGAAAATCAGATAACACTTACTGTAAATAACTGAAATTGAAAATTAATTAAAATAAAGGATGATTTTTTATTATAAGATACCTCCACAGTACAAACTGTTTTCATTTTGCTTCTCTCCTTTCAAGCTTCCATCAGATACATTCAAGTATGTTACCTGGCATGAATTGGAAGAACATGATGTTCAAGGGAGCCAAATCTGCTGCCCCCGAGTAAGAAAAGGTATAGCAATAACAAACTGTTTGTATGGATTTGAATGGAATGGCCAAATTCTGGATTCTAAATTGATGTTCTACTTCACAGACATTCAAAAAAAGAAGCAATAGTTCTTCCCAAGAAGCTGTCTTCACAATGTGCACTCCCAGGTTGCTTAGACCTCTGCTCATGCACACAGTGACTTCAGAACTCAGCGTCATATTTATGTGTACAAAGTGTAGTTTATAGTTTGAAGGTCAGAAAGCCAGAAGAACAGTGTTGGTTGAATGCACCACAATGGGACAAAGATGCTTTTCAAGACGCAACTGGACTTTCTTAGTTTTTCCTCAAAAACATTTTGCTTCTTATCCAAGAAGTTTCTTAAGTTCAGTTCAGAAACTTCTTGAATGAGAAGCAAAACGTTTTCAAGGAAAAAAACTAAGAAAATCCAGTTGCCTCTTGAAAAGCGTCTTTGGGACAACCACGACCTGGTTGATTGAGAATCTCCATAGACACCACTGAGGAAATATGATATGGAGTAATGGTATTGCTGCCTTGTACAGGACCCTACTGTCTGATTAATTTATGCTCTGATATTCCCATAGCCCAGGGTTTCCCAATCTTGGCAACTTTAAGTCATGTGGATCTCAACCCACAGAATTCCTCAGCCAGTCCTCAAAGTTGCCAAGGTTGGGAAACCTTGTGGTAGCCCAATTGATATTTCCTTCATTTTCTAAACTACATGCTATCTCCCTCTCTCTCTTTCTGAAATACGTAGACCTTTTATTTGTTCTTCTATCAGGAATGGGGAAACAATTTTAAATTGTTAGTACATGCTCTATTCGACAACACAGAGAGATTTCCACATAAACACTACAATGAAAGGATTGTACTGAAGTTACAAGAAGAATAATGCCATAAGCTATATGGAGCTATAGCTAATGTGTTGGCTACATTAGCTCAGATAATAGGAGCTGTATTTCAGAAGGGCTATTATATTTGGGCTGCAAATTGAACAATCAGCAGATAATACCAAAGTATTACAAAAATTCTCAACTTTGCTGCCATCTATCAGTTGTGCTAATATTTGGAGCCCAAATACGGTAGGCTTAATTTCATCAAAAACTGGAGGACAACAAATTCACCATTCCTGGTTTAGTAGAATGTCTGCCTTTATGATACAATAAATATGTGCGGGAAAAGACCTACAATGACCCAGACAGTAATTAATGTATAGTTAATCAGCCAGTATCACTGTCAGATTTTCCCCCAATTCTCCTTATTGTTGACTCTTAACTCACCACCCTTCAAAATAGATGGATATTTTGGGCTAGCACATCACAGTACTGGTCCATTGTGCCATTCAAAGGGGAATTTGACAGATTCACAAATATATCAGTAGTTGCTAGTTATGACTGTTTATATTTGAAAAGTATTCAGTATTGTCCTTCACCCACAAAAAAACCTAAATCCTATACATTTCCTATCTTGGTGCCCTCCAAAAATTTAAGCCTATATACTGATTAAATAAAACGTATGATTAATTGGCTAAAATGATTTTATTACTAAGCCTCTCTGATTATGCTGTACAACAGAAGTTAAGCAGTCTTTTACAGAACTGCAGTGCATTATTTCTATATATACTGAACGAGGAAGAAGCAATCACAAGACATATGGACCAAAACAAAATTTGGCACTAGAGCTAGGAAGGAATAGATATCATTTGGCTTCCTGGCAACTTCATTATTTTATCCCCAAAAGTAATCTTGAAAGCAATCCAATATGGCAAAAATATTACTGTAAGAAAGACATCCATAATCCTCCAAATTTCCTATTTAATGTTTGTTTCAAGTACTCAGATAGATATCAGATAGGTATCAGATGCAGCTGCTGTGAAGTTTTAAGACTAAATGTTTCATTTATAGTACTTTATTAACTGCACTAAATAAGCAAATAATTGAAGAATGATTATGTAAAAAAAACCATAAAAATCCAAGGAATAAAAATACACATTAGTCTATGTGGTTCTCTGTATATATAATGTATATATTAAGTTACTGTACATTTCAAAAATATTTGGAAGAAACACTTTGCACCTTGAATAGTACAAATATTATGCCCGTCTGCTATTGTAAAGTTGTCCAGTTTTTTTCCAATAGCAGTAATTTTTCTTATGACATTTTATGAACGTAAAAATAGGACCTTGAAGAAGTAGAACAGAAAATGTAGTAATATTGTACTTTCAATCTTGTACTTTGGTGCTAGGGAAGACTTTTGAGGATACTATGGATAGTTTAAACAATAAATGGAGTCATCATTACTAATAAAAGAGAATATTTGTAGCTCAGGGTTGACCTGAGGGGTCCTTGGTGCTCTCTGAGCTTGCTTGTTTTCTTGCAGACGTTTCATTACCCAAACTAGGTAACATCATCAGTGCTGGTAAGGAGTGCTGTTTGCTGTCAGTTTATATTCTAGTGGCTTGCCTGTCAGTGTTAGTGGGGGTTGGCTTAGAGATTCTTTGGTTGGATTATTTGCTGTTGGCTTCTTTGGCAGTTTCTTGATTGAGGCATTGCTTACTTGACTGTTGGTCTGAAGTTGACCTTGAAATTAATCTATGCTGAGCTGGGTGCTGATTACTGGTGCTTTTTGTTCTTTTTTGGGCTGGATGATAGTTTTTTTTCATAATCTATAGATATTGTTAATGTCTATGTGTCCATTGATGGCTGATTTGTCAGAGTGCCAGGCATTTAGAAATTGCCTGATGTTTTTGGATTTAGCATGGTCTAGGATGGTCACATTTTCCCAATTGAAACTATAGTTAAATCTGTCTATATGTTGTGAAATTAAAGAATTTTCATCATGTCTTCTGCCTGCTAGTTGATGTTTCTGGATACCTTCTGCCAGTTTTCTGCCTCTTTGTCTTACGTAGTGGTTTTTGAAATCCTTACATTGTATGTTGTAGATGATTTCTGTTTTTTCTTCTGAGATTGTTGGGACTTTTAGTCTGCTTAGGATATTTGGAAGGGCTTTAGTTGGCTTGTGTGCTATGCTGATTCAATGTGGTTATAGTAGTACTATATGTATTACTATATGTAGTCTTGCTACAACCACATGGAATCAGCATAGCACACAAGCCAACTAAAGCCCTTCAAAACATCCTAAGCAGATAAGTCAATAATATGGGGAAGTATTGAAGGAAAGAGGGCAACAACCAGCAAGGTGGATGGACTCAATGATGATAGTGAATGTCCAGATGTTGAAGGTGGATCTTCTAATAGAGATTCTATCAATGTGGTTACTAGGAGTCAAAATCAACTCAATAACAATAAAGAATCACATAATTGCAACAATTCCTTAAAGCCATCACAACTTTTTTCCTAAAGTTTGTACAGAAGCCAGAAATAATTTGGATGGCTTTAACAAATAGCAGAAAAATAGTATGCTTACATTTGTATGACGTCTGAAGCATTTTTGGGGGGTCATTTTTCAACAAAACACAACCCTAATGTTTAGATAATGCACTAAGATAATGAACTAACAGCTGGGATATCCAGAGAGGGAAAAAAACCCACAATCTGTAGCTGGAAGACACCATTTCTAGATCCAGCTACAATAACACAAAACATATAAGCATGTTTCCAGGCTTTCAGAATTATTCACTGACAGGTTACAAAAACTGAAATAGGGAAAAAGTAAGGAAATTTTAAAAATATAACAGATGTTTAATTATGGGATGTGGAGGACATGGATGGAGATTATGGATGGAGATTATGGATTGAATGGATGGAGATTATGGATTGAATGCATAGTAAGCTTAGAGCAAGACTAGCTACTAGAAAAGGTATTTCTAATGGTGGGGTCCAACTTATGACTTAATATTCCATAATGGAATATATACAAACACAGTTTGCGATGTATAGATTGATATTAATGTTATCAGCAAATTTGCACATTTTTCTACACTGACAATTTATTGCATCATTTAGCTACCATTGAAGTGATAAGACGCTAATGAGGGTTGTATTGCCAATGTGTTATTTGAGTGACACTGTTAATTGGCAGTGGAGTAATGCCCTTATTTGATTACAATGTAAAAATGAAAAAAAAAAGTATATATGTATATTTACTGCCTCCAGAAGCTGTGAATGCTCCAACACTGAAAGTTTTTAAAAAGAGACTGGACTGGACTGTCTGAAATGGTATAGGATTTCCTGCCTGAGAGGGGGTTGGACTAGATGACCTCCAAGTTCCCTTACATCATCATCATTATTATTATTATTATTATTATTATTATTATTATTATTCACTTGAATTCTTCCAATTTTTAAAGCATTTCTGTTTCCTCTTCTGGACTGTCCTCTGCACATCTGCTTAATCTAATCTGTAATCTATTTTGGTCTTTTGAAATATTCAAATTTATGAGTAGTAATGGGATACTGGAATGCATAAATGTTTAAATACATTTAGGACCTTCTGAAGAAGAATGTTTTTTTAGAGGAGAAGAATATGGTCATTGTGCAAGAAAAAAAATGACAGAAAAAGAGAGATGGGAGCAATGGTTACAAGAAGACTGGGAAAATTGTGTGGTAAGTTCTAAGATTACGAATGTATGAAGCTTATTGCTTTTATTATTATTAATTAAATACTGTACATAGGCCTATATTCCCAATGATTTTGGGTATACAGATACAGATAAAAAAATTACAGGAAAGGGAAAAAAATAACAATGATAGAAAAAAATAAGACTAAAAATGGCAAGGGCAACCAATGAATGAGTAATGGACAGAAACGAAAAGAAACAAATTCACGCAATCCGTTTTGGCTTGCTATTAGTTCTAAAATATGTGCCTACTATCAAGACATTGTGTAATTCAGAGGCATTCATTGCTAGGGTGCTTAGTTATAGAAATCTAATTTAAACTCCACACTGCTTTAAAATAGGTACATATTTTAAACTTCATTTTCTTTTTGAGTTATGTTCCTTGTAAACGGGTAAACGATAGCTGGTAAGCTATTCAATATTTCTATCAGACACTGAGAAATAAAGGACTCCAGAGTTGTTCCTGTCAAATCTGTGTTCCAAATTGTTAAGGAATTTAGAAAGAAAAACTTCTACAATCAAATTATCTTGTCTGTAATTGCTTCAATAATTTTTTTCTAGGAATAGCCAATAATATAAAATAATAGTAATAAATAACATCAAAATAGATTATATCTATTGGGGTTGGAACCAAGATTGAAATCAATTTATCAACCCAGTATCAGTACTATACTAAATCTGTAAAGAAGTGACAGCTGGATTTAGAATAGAATAGAGCTGGAAGGAACCTTGGAGGTCTTCTAGTCCAGCCCCCTGCTCAAGCATGAGAACCTGTACCATTTCAGACAAGTGACTGCTTAGTCTCTTCTTAAAAACCTCCAGTGATGGAATGATCATGATTCCTGAAGGCAAGCTGTTCCACTGGTTAATTGTCCTCACTGTTAGGAAGTTCCTCCTTAATTCCAGGTTGCTTCTCTCTTTGGTCAGTTTCCAACCATTGTTTCTTGTCTTGCCCTCTGATGCTTTGGAGAATAATTTGACCCCCTCTTCTTTTTGGCAGCCCTTCAAATACTGGAATACTGCTATCATGTCACCCCTAGTCCTTCTTCTTCTTAGACTAGCCATACCCAATTCCTGAAACCGTTCTTCATATGTTTTAGTCCCCAGCCTTTAATCATCTTAGTTGCTCTTTTCTGTACTTTTTCCAAAGTCACAATATCTTTTTTGTAATATGGTCACCAAAATTGGTTGCAGAATTCCAGGTGTAGTCTTACTAGGGTTTTATAAAGCGGTAGTAATACTTCACGTGATCTTGATTCTATGCCTCTGGGTTTATACAACCCAGAATTGTATTACCTTTTTTTGGCTGCTGCTGCACACTGCTGGCTCATAGTCAAGTGATCGTCCACTAGGACTCCAAGATCCCTCTCACAGTTACTGTTTTTGAGCCAGTTTAGTGACAAATTTGATGAGTTCCCCATCTATTCCCTCATCTAAGTCATTTATGAAGATATTGAAGAGTATTGGGCTAAGATGGAGCCTTGTGGTACCCCACTGCTTATTTCTCTCCATGTGAATGTGGTACCATTATGGATTACTCCTTGAGTATGGTTTGTCAGCCAGCTACCGATCCATCTGGTGGTGATGTTGTCTAGCCTACCTTTTTCTAGTAGGTTGTGGTTTACTTTGTCAAATGTCTTATTGAAATCTAAGTATACTATGTCTACAGCATTTCACTGGTCTACTAATTCAGTCACTTTATTAAAGAATGAAATAAGATTTATTTGGCATGATCTGTTTTTAACAAACCTGTGCTGGTTGCTAGGTATAACTTTGTTTGCTTCTAGTTGTTTGCAGATCTGTTTTTTTATTTCTCCCTTTTTTTAGAAATAGGGTATGTCTAATGGTGTGCTTAAAGTTTATTTTGCACTTTTCAAAACCATTTTCATTCAGCTAGAAAAATGTTGTTTGTTTTCAGAAGAGAAGATGGTTTTGGTTAAATTCTCATGACTTTATTTACCAAGTTAACAAGAGCTGTGGTGGCACAGTGATTAGAATGCACTATGCAGGCTAATTCTGCTGACTGCCAGCAGTTCGATTCTCACTGGATTAAGGTTGACTCAATCTTCCATCCTTCTGAGGTCGGTAAAATAAGGACCCAGATTGTTGGGGGCAATATGCTATAAACCTCTTAAAGAGGGCTGTAAAGGACTGTGAAGGGGTCTAAGTCTAAGCCCTATTTCTACCACAGAAATGTAGACTGGCTGGGGAATTCTGGGAGTTGCTAAGGATGAGAAACACTGGTGTAGCCATTCTGGCTTCTCTCAGGGAAAAATCATGAGGAGATTCCATCCATTGACTTTTGGAAATCAGGAAGCACAGTTGGAGAATGCCAGAGGGAAGTATAATAGGAAAAAAACCATCAGCATCTCCAATGAAAAGTAAGCTAAAAACAGCAGCAAACAATTTCTGAATAAAATTTATAGAGGATGAATGAAAATAAAGTAAGAAAAACCTTTTTCCCCAGGAGAAAAATTCTGAGAAACTGAAGGATGGATTTTAGCAGTTTAATCGTATTAGCAAAACCTAGATGACCTTAAAACATGTTTTCCCACTTCACTATATAACTCAGTCATTTTAATTAATAGTAAAAAATGTCTTCTGTCGTAGGAAAATTAAAGGCCAAAGATCACACCTATTTTATTTAAATTTATATGCATTTTTCAGGGAGAAACTCAGCACAAACCTAGAGACAATGGGCATTTTAAGCCTTTTCCATGCATATTTTTCAATATGCAATGGTATATGCTATCCCAAAGCTATTAGTAATTTTTATATGCTATCCCAAAGCTATTAGTAATTTTTCAAAGGGAGGGAGGGAGGGAGAATATATATATTCTTTATATAACAGGTAAATAAAAGCTTTGGGATGTATTTTTATTGTTAAAGATAAAAAGTGAGGGAAATCTTTCCCCTTTACTCTCTGATTCCAGTATGTATTGGATGCTTTCTTCACCATCACCCAACTAATACCCCATCAAAACTATTCTTTATTAAATTGTATAAAAAGTAAACAATGAATCTGGTTTAGTCCAAATCCAAATCATGCTGTGAAAGACACTCTTGGAAATGATCTTTGTTCAGTATTCAAATGAATTAATTTATATATTCTTCCTCTCTATCAGAGTTTAAATCTTTCATATCAAGATCTGGGAGATCCTTACCAAATAGACAACTGTAAGAGAATTCTCCGCCGATTAATCCGAGTGGAGAGGCTTTGGCTGGTGGATAATTCACTGACAGATCTAAGTGCCATAAATTTGCCAAGGTAATTTTTTCTGCCCATGTAACAGGTACTTTTCCACTTTGCACTGAAATCAATGGCAATGTACATAAAAATTGCTGTTACAGTTTTAATCAGGGCCAATAATCCATTTACCAGTAAAAAAAGAAAACTTTGTCTATTTTAAGACATTTTAAAGCACTGCTATAGTCTAAAATTTTATTTTCTCTTTGTGTAATAGTTGATAGCACATTCCTTTTTACTTTTTACAGGTGCAAAGAACTCAAACTCAGCAAAAATCATTTTACATCCTTCAGACAACTGCCAAAAATACCTGAAATTCAACACTTGTTCTTAGACGAGAACAATATCACAGCCTTAAATGAATTATCAGCCTTGAGATATGCTCCATTAGAATCTCTTATTCTCAAGAGAAACCCCTGTGAGTTTCAAGAAAACTACAGGCAGCTGTAAGTTCCTGGAAACTAGTAAAGTGTGATTTGAGAGACTGTTATTCCTAGAGAGCATAATTGTAAAACAGCAGAAGTAGCAAACCCCCCCCCTTCACTTATTAAAATAAATAACATGCATACAGTGACCATAGTCTCACTAAAACTGGACTAAATCAAGCTGTGATTCAACATCAAACTGCATATATTCTCCCTTAGCCACAAACTATGAATCACCTAAAAAGTCCCTAATTCACCATTATTTGTTCAATCCCAAACTAGGACTCCATGATTATCCCCTTTGGATTATCCCCTTAACAATTTATCTGGGTAGTCAGTTTCTTGGGTTGAATGAGTCAGGAATATCTAGTTTCTCAGAGGATTTCTGGCTTAACTGTAAAGAGCAAGAGAAGTTCCATTCATGAACTCAAAGTGCTCATTAATAAGTGAAGGAAAATGAACATATGTGAATACCATATGTGAACAATTTCCCAGAAACCACTGCCCCATCCATCTTTTTTGCCATAACTGATAATGGAGAATGAATAAACAAGGGTTTGTTTGTTTGTCTTTCACACTTTGTAACTCTCCATCTCCCTCAGAGAGGAGCCCTGAGCAGTGTACAGTTTAATCAATAAAATTAAGCATTAAAAAGAGAATACTATTACCTGAAATGTAGTCCCATTATAAAGAACTTATCGATCCACTGCTCTGAATGCGAACTAAGATGAAGTTCAAGAAAAAAGGGCAAATGTTCAGAAGTTTATTGATGCACTTTCCCAAATACTAAAATAATAAGTTGTGATATCTAGTCCCAGATACTGTTCTCTGGAAGCAATGCAAAAAAACCTCACACTAGCATCCTGTGATTCTACACTGAGTGAGGTAGCTACTTCAAATAACAGACAGTGGATAATAGTGGTTTGAGCTGCGCCCAAATCCTGCTGGGCACCTTCTGGCATTATGGTATGAGACTCTCACCTGCTGTGTAGAATATTTTTCCATTGCCAGGATAAGAAAGGCCTAAAGTTGCCAGTCTAGTAAACTTTTCTACTAGAGGAGAGGATAATATTATTTTTTTGCCTGGAGCCAGAAAATCTCTTCAGTTGGCCTTGTGGTGCTCACTTTTAATTTATTCTCCTTGCAACTCTATTTTTTGTTTTGGCTTTTCAGTTTGTGATATCTTTCTCTCAGACACATATACACAAGTTTCAGAGGTGACAAAACAAATTTGGGGTATTTGTTGGCCAAAGGGTGTGCCTCCCTTAGTAGAACAAAGTAAATAGACTTTGTTCTCAGAACATCCATAAAGGAGTGTGCATCGTGCAGAAGAAATAAAATAATATATATATATATCAACTGGCAGTCCACAGAATTTATAATCCACCCTTAACTTCCCTTTGCATCTGAAAAAAATAGATCAAGGATACAACTTCTACCATTCAGAATGGGATATAAAATTTGGTGGAGTGAAGGAAAGAGTTTCAGTGGCGTATTACATGTTTTACCCCAATTCTCCTGCTTGTGGGAATAATAGCAATAGCAGCATTAAGTTAAATGGGTTAGGATAATGAAGGAGAAATAACAATTTCTTTCTCAATTTTATTACCCTACAGTGTATTCTTCAATTTGCCAAATCTGAAGATGCTGGATGGAATCCTAAAAATGCCAGAGGACTGTCTTCCACTAGGAAGGAACTTTTTTTCTAAAATATGCACCATATCGTAGCATTATATTTTCCAACAGGATTGAAGGATTTGCCATGATTAAAGGAGTAAATCTTAGGGACACAAAGCTGTTTTTTGTCTTAACAGTCGATCATTTTGGGACTTTATTAAAAATATCCAAACTTAACATTACAGAATACAAAAATATGCTCCCTGGACACAGAGATGAGACTACTTTGAATATTTTTTTTGCTAATCTTGTGCTTTTTAAGTTACTTATTTATTACATTTATTTCCAATCTCCTCACCAAGGACTTCTCAAAGATTTCATTTCCTTCATACCACTCTATATAGGAGATTAACCCCTACGATATTAGAACAAACCCTTGCACACATTTGAAAATGGAATTATATGAGATGCATTTTAAAAAGCAAAATTGGAAAACTCAGGCTGAATTTTTAAGTAGAATGCAGAATTATTGTTCCTTCCTTCTATTAAGTGTTGTTTTTAGGCATGAAGAGCCATCCCAAATTGTGAAAATTTGTAATATATGTTTAAAGAGGCCATTTCCTCTGAAACACTCTCTTGGATCAATGCAGACATTCTAAACTTCTTCCAATTTGTACAATCTTAACCTTTATAAATCTAGGGAACACATAATTATTGTTCATGCTTTAAATTAGGAATGATCAGCTTGTTAACAACCAATGCTAGCCAATGCAGGAAAAGAAAAGATAATGGAATCACAGGGCCAAATCCTGAAGTCAAAAGATAACTTAAGCCAATACATCATTTCAGTTTTACATATTCCAATGTCTACTTGTGATGCCTTGAATGGTTTAACAGAATAACAGAGTTGGAAGAAACCTTGGAGTTCTTCTAGTATCTAGTCCAATCTCCTGCTCAGGCAGAAAACCTTATACAATTTCAGAAAATGGTTGACCAATTTCTTCTCAAAAACCTCCAGTGTTGGAGCACCCACAACCTCTTGAGGCAAGTCTCTCATTACTTCTCTCCTAGTTTAGTTTCTACCCATTGCTTCTTGTCCTGTCTTCAGGTGCTTTGGAAAATAGGTTGACCCCCTGTTCTTTGTGGCAAAACTTAATTTTTCTAACTTTTCACAACTTGGCACATCCCAAGATTTCATTGCCTATAATTGTTGGCCAACATAAATCCCATCACCACCAGTCAGCATGGCAGGGAATGACTGAAGTAGAAGTCTGACATACCTAGACACATGTAACAAATTACATTAGCCTCTTTGGGATTAAGCTGATTGGCAGCCATTTCATGACGGATAGCATACAGTTCCTTTCCTACTAACTATGTTGTAAAAATATAGCCCTGAGTTTCATGCAGGATTAGACAGTAATATAAGCCTTGACTACTAAATAATTGCAAAGGTATTACATCTTGGTTTAGAGAAACTGGGTGATCTTCCACTGTTAATGTGAATGTCACCCAGCCTTCTGTTTCTTCCAACTTTCACTATATATCTGTGCTGTATCAATGAATTCTATTGAGCTTCAATATTGCAGTGACAGGAAACTAACTTTACAAAGAAAAGTATAGGGCTGGGGTCGGGATGGGGAGACTAGGTTGTTGTGGGTTTTTTTGGTTTTTTTTTTTTAGCAAAGATATACAATGTCCTGCCATGGGATGTATTGCAACAGGAGCTAATGGAACAATTTGTCTTCTGCTGCTTCCTCTTCTGCTGATTAAAATCAAATCCATTTCATTCATTATTCAGCAGCTCTCACTTGGGCTGTAGAGTGGAACTAACTACTTACAAAATTCATGACCATACTCAGTCAGCAGTCAACTACTAGTCCTAAAACAGAAAAATGAATTTAACATATCTACTGACAGATGCTTTGATCAATTTCAATACACCTTTAAAGCACACAGGGACAGGTTTATAGAACTGCAGTCCAATATGCACTATTAAGTTATTTCAGAGCTATCATTTTTCATTTGTGATCTCTGTCCAGTATGGTGTGTGCATGCATGTGTGTGTGTGTGTGTGTGTGTGTGTGTGTGTATTCAGTTAGCATGCTGTCTTTCATACTAATAATTGAAAATGTTAACAATAAGAAATGAGATTCTCACATAGCATATGCCCAGGATCAAACAAATGATATACATAAATATAATCAGGGAAGGCTAGAGGCTAGGACAAAGCACAAATAAACTATGTTCCTAAAATCAAAAGAAAAGAATGATTCTGCAGTGGATGTGAAGCAGAACTACAACTGACAGAATACCATGCTTATACCTCTATCAAAGTACCCCTTATTTTATGAGCTGGGTTCCCATTCAACCACGCAGAACTGTCTAGAACTTCAATCCTATGGCAGACATTTATTAATTAAATGAATATATACAGCCAGCAACCAAATCATACACTGATGACTCAAGGTGGCCTACAGCATTAAAAAACACAATATAAAAATCATAACACCCATACCATCCCATGGCAGCAGCAACACAATCAAACCAACCTCTTGATTGGCTCCTTCTCCTTTTGAAGTTCCCAGCCTCGCTGACAAAACTCACAAAACTTTCAAAACAGCAGCTGGGGGCCAATAATACTTCAAGGAGAATAATGTTCCAGCCTCCCACTGAGAAGGCCATTTTCCGTGGTACTGTCAGATATACATCTCTAACAGATGGAACCCACAACATACATTCTTGTTCTGGTAGACCAGTAATGGCCTACATAATGAGGAAGAGATGGTCCTTCAGATAGCCTGGCCCCAAGCTATGTAGAGCTTTAAAGGTGATAACCAACACCTTGAATCATACTGGAAGCAGAATGGGAGTCAGATGAACCACACAACTACAAGGTCATAAACAGCTATGCTACAAAAGTGTTGTTCTCTGAGGTCATCATACTGGTCACACAAACATACCCTTTATGAGCAAATAAGTCCTGTGGTGAGTCCTATGGCATGCACACTTTTATTTTCTCTCTTTTAACATGTCTTAGAGATGGAGCACAAAATGTCATGGATTGCAGCATTTTCCAATTCCTCAGTCAAGCCCCTCCCCTTCCCAAAATCTGCTATCTTCCAAGATGGCTGTGTTGCTGGGGGATTGCAATTGCAATCCACACGTTGATGATATCTGCATTAAATTATTTATTTTCCAAGTGCTTGAGTCTATCTCCTATTTTGCAGCCAACACATACCACCTATCACTATCATCAGTATTCAAAATTAGTAGGCCAGCTACAATAGTGCAGTCCTTGTAAATCAAAAATCACTGAAGAAGCAGGTATATTTATGCAATAGTCAAATCAATCTAGGTGGTCATGAATTCTAGAACTGCAGAATTTGCTCTTGTTTAGTCTTGAAAATACAGCACTTCCTTAAAACCGGAGTCTGAAACAGAATATAAAAATGATAGGAAATAAAAAAAAATATAAAAAATACATTAGGCTTCCAAACACTTATAAATTTTGCATGAAATACACCCAGATGTTTATGTGTAGGATTGCAGCCTACCCCCAAACTATTGCCCCATATTTTTTGTTGTTTTATTTTATACTGAACTACTTTTTTATGGTTTGATGTCATTTCTACTCTTCTCTGAAATCCACCCAAAAGAATGAGAGGATATGATTTTTTAAAGCAAGATGCAATTTTTTTCTGCAGAAAAACTAAAAAGAAAGTGGTTTCTAGTGCGTAGCTCCAAATAAAAATTTAGAACAAATGAAAGAATTTGACTGTCTTCAAAAATATGCTTAGCATTGCTGGAGGCTGAAAAATTTATCTTTGTACAGAATGGATTTCTTTTCAGACTTGCAGAGCTGAAATAAATTCACCCATTCTGGTTGGTTTTGAGTTATGGGAGCTCTTAGCAATCTGTGCTCCAGAGAAATTCCATTCTAATCTGAAGTGGATATTCTTTCACCCTGCCATGGCAAGGATTATTATTTGTCATTGCTACTTACCCCCTGCTCTAATGGAAACGTAGCAGTGGCTTATGCTGAGAGTTCCTTGGTGAGAAAAAAATAAAAAGAGAGAAAGAACTTGAGCAAGTAGATATTTAAAGTCTTCTCACCTTTTTCTTCTTTGAAAGAAAAAAAGAGCAATGGCACAGGAACCCCACAGGTCAATGAGAGAATATACCTAAGCACTATGGGCAGATCAGATGTGCAATATGCTTATTGAATTATCTCATTTTCTGGCCTCGCAGAATAAGCTGACCCATAAACTAACCAGTTGGACTGATCCCCAGAATACACCAGGCCATCAAAAAAAGAGAATTCAAAGGTTTAAATTAAATCAAATTAAATTAAGGATTAAAATAAACAAGCTGGCCTTTACTAGAACAACTGTCTTATGTGAATGCAGCCAATGTCATGTTAACTTCTTAATGGTAGGCAGAGGTATGACTGAAACTCTAAGGACCCATGGTCAGTCAGTAGATGGGTTTACATAATTGTGCAAAACACAATTTGATTTAACCATGTATGTCACTCAAAGTTCCCTATTTATAATAGTTATCTTCATTCAATGCTTTAAGCCAAATCCAAACAAATCACTTCAGAGTATTGTATGTGAACCTAGTGAATACCAGCAATCCATGGATAGATTATCATAGTCTTCAAATTCAGTCGTTAGATTCATTCATGGAGTTAAATGAAAATGTGTTCTGTTTGGTTTTAGTTTACTGTATTGTGCAAACCCAATCATTGTAATCTATAGAGCGGGGTTTGTGTTAATGCTATTTGAAGAGTGTCTATTGTGGCTTATCTAATAAAGATTATTAAGCAAACTATGGCCAGCATGAAATGCAAACTCAATCAGTATACAATAGCTTTTATAATTGTTTAAAGGATAAGATGCATCACATAATGACCCACTAGAAGTTCAAAGGTAACTTGACTTATGTTCAGATCCTGAAATCTTGACAAGCATGTAAAAATATACAATCAGAGGTGCCTGTTTCTAACCATGATCATGTCAGAATGATGAAATGTGTGTTGTGACATCATTACACAAGCTTCATCCTTTTTATTTGCATTCCAGTACAGGTAGTCCTTGACAACCAGTTGCTTAGCAACTATTCAAAGTTATGATGGACCTACCTTAAGGTTACTTACA